TGTAATTATTAACATTATTTTATTTTATTATTTTTGTAAGTAAAATTTTTATCTGGTAATTAAACTGGCTGCTTACGTATGTACATGTATGTACAAAATAATGGAATTTATTGCATAGGTTTGCTTAATTTTTATTTCTAAAATTGCTACCAGTATATAGATAATCACACAGTGGAGTTTCCTGTTTATGACTGAAATAGAATTCATAGTTGCATAACTGCCAGTCATTTTTTAAACTACATATTACTTTAATTTTGTAATAGGACCAACAGACACCATTGCAGTTTAGCCAGATTTAAAAATTTTAATGATGCAGTTCAACTAATGGAAGTATAAGAATGATGGCTGCATGCATTTCCTGCATATTAATTTCTATTCTTCCTTTTAGGTAAAAAATGCCCCTGGTAGTTTTGAAACCACCTACAATGATCATGAAGATATTGAAGATAATGATGCTGTAGTAGTTACTGATAGCACAGTGTTAGTTTTTTTTCGAAGTACTAGAGGTACAATGTTCTATCAAGTGCATTGTATCTGGACCTCCAATGTCTGAAAAACTATCTCACAAATCGAGTAAAAGGAGAAATAATGAATGTCACAAAGACCAATGGTAGCCCTAGGTCTCATGCAAAAAAATTAATGACCAGGCAAAAGAGCTTTGTTATTCCATTTGCCCAACTATCAAGTATTGTGTCATTAGACAGTGAAAATAGCTCTGATGATGATGGTCAACCACCACACTCACCTCCTTTTCACAAGGCAGCTTCAAATCAACAACATCCAAATATTTTGATGACACAGAAAATCTTGATCAACTACCAGACCAAATCAATTATGACTCGCAATCTCTTCACATATTTAATGTAGGTAGTCAGCCTGAGCTTATTGCTACCTTGCCTCTCATCCTCCGTGGACCAGCTTTACATTTTGTTTTCTTTGATGTATCTTGTGAGCTGACAAAAGAGATTGTTGTTAGAGGCGATGATGGATATACAATGCATTACAGCACAATACAGTACCTGCATCAAACCTTGTCAAGCTACTATGAAGTTGGTAAGGAAGATAGATGGCTGTAAGGCTATACTCGTTGCCACACACATCGATCATATTGGGCAGGATAATATGCAGAATGTTTTAAAAAAGAAAGACAGAGAATTGAGAAAATATTTTGGGAAAGCTGATTTTGTCAAAAATGACTTCATCGTAATTGATATAAAGAACGGTCACTTGTTCTTTCCTGTTGACAACATGAATGGTGATGATGCTGAGCTTAAGCATGTAGTGAAATTCATTGAAGATATTAGGCAAGTATTTAAAACCCATGCAAATGTCTCATGATGTGGCATGTTTTTTAAACAAAATTCAGCAGAAGTATTCTAGGACTGAAGCAGGGATATGTCGTTATGATGAAGCCATTAAAGTTGCTAGAGAATGTAATATAAGCAAATAGACAAATTCTTGAGTTTCTTCACCAAAATGTTGACACTCTCTTGTACTTTATCATTTGAATGAGTTTGTAATTTGCAGTCCTGATGCTCTTTTCTTCTCGCTCAATAGGTTAATTTGCCCATAGGCAATACTGGTGCAATTCGTTTATCAGGAGAAGTCAAAAGTACCTGTATATAATTATAATGACCAGGGTTGGAGTCAATTACGATTATAATCGTAATTGATTGTAACTAATTACATTTTTTTCATAATCATAATCATAATCGTAATTAAACAAATCCCAAAGCTTATAATTGTAATCATAATTATAATCACACAATAAAGACAAATAATCATGACAAAGAACATGACCATTTGTGTTCTTTGTCATGATGATCAAGTATCACAGCATTGTGTTAACTACTCAGTACAGTAAATTGAACTGCAACTTTTAATCTTATGTTCTTTGACATTTATGTTCTCAGAAGACATCATAATTAACAAAATATTAAACAATTGAAATGTGTCTAGTCATTGTATAATCATCATAAATTTATTATAATCACATGATAATCATGCACATATAATTATAATCATAATCATAATCATCAATTTTGCTGGTAATCGTAAACATAATTATTCACAAATACCCAGGTGTAATTGTAATCATAATTATAATCATGCTAGTTTATAATCAACTCCAACCCTGATAGTGACTAATCCACAAGTTGAACTTAATGCACATTACCATTTGCCTATACGGTACTTCTGACTGCAATACATGCAACTACACATAATATAAGAAATTTAAGAACATGATATTAATAGGTATTACATTGGTGACTGCATAACCAGAATCATTCAAACAATTATGCCCAAAACTCTTAAAATAATTAAAAGTATGACTACTAACACAGCGAAAGGCTTAAGTACGATTATTACAAATTAAGTGATACATGTCACTTTCAAAATTAGACTTTATAAAAGTTAGCATTTACCAGGCTAGAAGCTGCTCTGCTTGAAGCCAATTAACCATCCGATATTTGTACAAGCATAATTCAGATTCAAATTATCAAATAGCTTGTTCCATGAGCTAACAAGTACTACAAGGTACATGGCTTTTGGAGCAACTTTAAAATTTAATAAAGAATACAATTTTGATTGGACTATGCAACCACTAACATGTATATGTATCAGAAAAGGTTTTAAAAGTAGCAAATTCTCTGCTAGCCATTTTTTGATGAAATTTGACCAAAAATTGTATTTTTTTCATAGCAAATTTTGAGCAAGTTCAAAAATTCACAATTTTGATCAGAATCAGCCCAAACTTTCTATGCAACACAAAAACATGTACATGCATGTAAAGCAGACAAAATTATAAAAACAGGAAATTCTCTCCTATTGATTTTTGACAATTTTGGAGCAATTTAAAAATCACTAACAAGTGCTATGTTTAAAACCCATTGAAAAACCCTACAATCTGTCAGCTAATTAACAGTCACCAATTATATCACATATTTATATTTTAGCTTTAATCAGAGTTTCCCACATAGCATGCTAAGTGAGCTAAAAAGCATGAAGTATCGTAAACTGGGCTATATTCAATGGTTCTAAAATATACAATAGAAAATTTGATGTTGGAAATTTTCTATTTGTCCCAATATTTTCAAAGGCAAAAAGGAAATATTAGCCTTTCTAAATTTAGTATGCCTCATCAATTACCATCAGATGAAATAAGTGACATTTATGGTACTACAATGCAGTACAGCAACTTTAAAAATTTATAAAAATTAATTTGAAGTTCAAACTTGCTACACAGAATAAGAACATGCATAATGTATCAGAAAAATTATAAAAAGAAGTTTCTCCTTGTCATTCCTAACAAAATTTGCCATATTATAGTACAAGTACTTTTGCCCAATTTTTGATCCAATTCTTTAAAAATTCAATTTTTGTCAAAATCAGCTCAAACTTGCTAAACATAAAATTTTTTCCAGTCCTAGTCATTTTTTGCAAAACTTGGCCAAAAACCTGTACAGGGTCTTAGATAGTCTCGCGCAGCCAGACTCTCCACCCCTTTTTGACTTTTGGACGGCCAAAAGTCAAAAAGGGGTGGAGAGTCTGGCCACGCGAGACTAGGTCTTAGAATAATTTTTGAGCAACTTTTAAAATTCATTTTAAAAATTCAATTTTTATTGGAGTCATCTCAAAATTTTCATAATACAGCACATGAACATGCATACATTATCTGATTTGTATTAGAAAAATTATAAAAATTGAAAATTCTCTCCCAGAAATTTTTGAAAATAGGATTTGGTATTTTTTCAAGTTTTGAAGCAACTTTAAAATCCACTGATAAGGACCTACATGAGCACTATGCCAAAACTCTGTAGAAACCCTGACGTAAGTTTACATAAAACAAAAGTGGGTGGGTGGGCGCAATCTTAATCACAATTTTGATTACCATACAAGATAATTTGTTGGAGAGGAATTAATATTGGCAACTGGCAGTTATCACAAATACGTCGAATAGATATCTATAAATCTTTCACTCAGGGCATGCTCAAACGTGGTACAATCACCAGTACAAAATTTGCCAATTAATTTTCACTAAATTCATCAAATATTGCTCTCGCCAATTATAAATCATCTTGTATAGTGTGACTATGATTATAATGAGAATAGTATGTTATGTTTTATATGTAATATGAAAGAATTATAAACAGACAATGGAAATAAAGAAGGAGAACTTAGAGAAGGGAAGATCATACCATACTAGTAGCCTAGCTAAATTCAATTTTAATAATAATTCAAAAGCTTCAGCAAATTACCAAAATTTGCAAAAATTGTACCATGAAAGTCATAAGGCAGTATAACAGTATGCAGTATAGCACTTTAACTATGCAGTATAACACTTTATATTTACTGATTGTGCTGTAAAATGCATTTATCTATTTTTGATTTGGCAATTTTTGTGCATACTGGTATAAAAATATCAGCATAATCATAGATCAGTGTTTGTGGTTTTAAATTTAATATTGGTAATTAATTTTGAGTGGCTATTGCAATATCTCATTCCTAATACCAAAAATCCTCTGACTTATGAGTTTTTGTAACTGTGATTATTTTCAGAGAGGTGCATGTTGTTAACTAAAATACCAAAAAGGTTGTGGGACTTATAATTATTTTGTTAACAGAGCAAAATTTAATGTATACAGAATTTTATTTTGCTGGTGTAGGTATGCATGTGAGTGCAGAATTAAAAATTGAATTGTGCATTTTTATGATGAACAAAAAATAGCAAAATTAAATTCATCAAACATCATGCAGTGTCATGATATATACGATATGTTATGCCCTTGCAGCCCTGCCATGCCCCTGAATAAAAAAATTTAAAATTACAGCACAGATTAATATTACTACTGTATGGATCATTATGTAATTATGTTACATTACTAACCAGTACAGCATGATGGATATGAGGGCTCTGATGAACGGCAAAATTTTTCTTCTAGCGCTCCGGCTCCGCCTCCTACATGTCGAACCACGCCCTCTAAAGTCTCATTACACGCCGTAAACATGGATGCTGAGACACATGTGAGAGCAGACCTTCTCACCTTCTGGACTAGACTATATTCATAGTCTTCATCCCTAAGCCAGCCAGCTCAGCATTTCCATAAACAATGGAACGAGCAATGGAGGGTCCACTAAAGACGATACGCTTCTCTCTTAATGGAAAGGAGGTGGAATTGAATGGTCCCAGTTCTCAAGCAAGCCTGAATGATTGGATAAGGGCACAGCCTGGACTAACTGGGACAAAGAAAATGTGTGATGAGGGCGGCTGTGGGTGTTGTGTAGTATCTCTCACCAAGACTGACCTTTTAACCAAAAAGCAAGTCACAATAGCTGTTAATTCTGTAAGAAAAGCACCTACGTGTATCTTTATTAGATTATTATTTTTATTATGTTACTAGTGCTTGTGTCCTTTGTATTCCATTAATGGATGTTCAGTTACTACAGTTGAAGGAATTGGAAGGTAACCATATTTTATAGAGCTGTTGCATGGAAGTAATCAACAGGAGGGTGTGGCTAAAATTGAGCTAAATTGTCCGCCATGTTGGGTGGCAAGAAGGCCAAGAATGAATGGGGGAAATGGAGAAAAAAAATTAAATTCTGCAGTTGACATTCCAGGCTAATGCAAGGTAGAAGATGAAGATATTGAATAAAGAAGTCTCTATAATATTCTGCAGCGAAGTATGATATCTCTTTGATGAAAAATCACAGTTTGTTTCCATTCCTCCATTTGTTGTGTGTACATTCTTGCCACTCAAGATGGCTGACAAGAATTTCTGCCTACCCCGTTGATTACATCCGTGCAACAGCTCTATAC